TAGGAGATACACAAGCCTAGCGTGATTAAAACAGGCCGGTGATCGATATATGTAGATACAAGGTTCGAACTTCCATCAATTACCGTGTACGTTATACTAGGTGTGCCTGATCTACTGGTTTATGTGTAAGTGTGCTCTCCTAGAAATTGATTCCTTTGACATATGATTTAAACTGATTATAAAAAAAACAAGAAAAAGATCACCGATTTACAACATACATCGCACATTTCAACAACCATTTAGCTCCTTAACAATCCAACACATCATTGGTGTCAATAACACCCGTCATCATTGGTGTCCATTGATGTCAATAACACCAGTCATCATTGGTGTCAATAACAGTCGCCATCATTGGTGTCAATAACACCCGACATCATTGGTGTCAATAACACCCGTCATCATTGGTGTCAATAACAGCCGTCATCATTGGTGTCAATAACATCGCACATCATTGGTGTCAATAACATCCGTCATCATTGGTGTCAATAACATCCGTCATCATTGGTGTCAATAACACCCGACATCATTGGTGTCATTAACATCGCACACCATTGGTGTCAATAACATCCGTCATCATTGGTGTCAATAACAGCCGTCATCATTGGTGTCAATAACAGCCGTCATCATTGGTGTCAATAACACCCGACATCATTGGTGTCAATAACACCCGTCATCATTAATGTCAATAACAGCCGACATCATTGGTGTCAATAACAGCCGACATCATTGGTGTCAATAACATCGCACATCATTTGTGTCAGGAACACCCGACATCATTGGTGTCAATAACACCCGACATCGTTGGTGTCAAAAACATCGCACATCATTGGTGTCAATAACACTCGACATCATTGGTGTCAATAACAGCCGTCATCATTGGTGTCAATAACACCCGACATCATTGGTGTCAATAACAGCCGTCATCATTGGTGTCAATAACATCGCACATCATTGGAGTCAATAACACCCGTCACCATTGGTGTCAATAACATCGCACATCATTGGTGTCAATAACAGCCGTCATCATTGGTGTCAATAACAGCCGACATCATTGGTGTCCATTGATGTCAATAACACCCGACATCATTGGTGTCAATAACACCCGTCATCATTGATGTCAATAACAGCCGACATCATTGGTGTCAATAACAGCCGACATCATTGGTGTCAATAACATCGCACATCATTTGTGTCAGGAACACCCGACATCATTGGTGTCAATAACACCCGACATCATTGGTGTCAATAACACCCGTCATCGTTGGTGTCAAAAACATCGCACATCATTGGTGTCAATAACACTCGACATCATTGGTGTCAATAACAGCCGTCATCATTGGTGTCAATAACACCCGACATCATTGGTGTCAATAACAGCCGTCATCATTGGTGTCAATAACATCGCACATCATTGGTGTCAATAATAGCCGCCGTCATCATTGGTGTCAATAACACCCGACATCATTGGTGTCAAAAACACCCGTCATCATTGGTGTCAATAACAGTCGTCATCATTGGTGTCAATAACAGCCGTCATCATTGGTGTCAATAACAGCCGTCATCATTGGTGTCAACAACACCCGTCATCATTGGTGTCAATAACAGCCGACATCATTGGTGTCAATTACAGCCGTCATCATTGGTGTCAATAACACCCGTCATCATTTGTGTCAATAACACCCGTCATCATTGGTGTCAATAACAGCCGTCATCATTGGTTGTCAATAACGCCGTCATCATTGGTGTCAACAACATCTGTCATTATTGGTGTCAATATCATCACAAATCACACATTTGTGTCACAAACGTCACACATTTCAGCCATCACTGTGTTTATTGATTGGTTTCAACAACATAAGACATTACGATCAACGCCACATTGATAACAACTTCATTATTCGTCATTAGTGTTAACAACATTGGTATTTTTGTTTCCTGATGTAGCTGAAATCGGGAACAGACAAATGGTCGTATCAGAGGGCTACACCTAAACCCCATTCAGACTTGTCTTTAACTAAACAGTAAATTGTCGTGTGCTTATGACTAAAACACTAACAACAGATGAGGAAAGCATTGTGTTTGATTATGCAGTTGAAAAGCATAGCACACAATATACATGAATATTACTTGTATGTAAGAATGCAAGAGTTGTCTTTCTTCAAGAGCGAACTTCTTGTATAACACTTGTCCTGTTTTCAACAATATTGTTTTATCTCCCACTAACTACCTGTAATTATATTGGAAATGGGAAGTATACTATCACTGTACCAGGTGTGTTTTTTTCAATGCAGCCTTGAACGCTAAAACGATAACACGTGATCACAATAAAGTAATTCTTCAGGAAATTGTAAAATGGTTCTTTCTCCTTAAGCTTACCATAATTTTGCAAAATAAAAAAACACAGTAATGTCCACAGGTACCTGTAGTTCGGACGAAGGTTTGTAACGTGTAGTTTTCCTTACAGCATCCTTGGGTGAATCTACTAGTTTGTATAAGTGGAAGCCCAGACTTCCAATAGAAGAGGACGTGCCCTGCAGCGGAACCATGTTACGTGTAATTTTTAAAACATTGTCTGTGCTTGTGGAATGGTTTTATCGAATTTCTGTATGGAAATGAATCCGCGCAGAAACATACACATATATACGTCTCTGGATACGGCCTGAGAGTTATTGAAGAACTGAATGTTAGATGACTGTGGATATTAACATAAAACTCATCTGTTGCTAACATACTCATCATTTCACACAGAATATCATAAAATAAAAAAAAATATATATCTTACGTGTAAAACATGTAACCGGATTGTCGGTGTGTGTCCGTTTCTAAATATTGCACTACGATTTACACATCCGGTTGTTTACATATCCGGTTTGATTCGAAAGTGAAAGTCGGTCAGTGAGGAATGACAAAACGTTGGAGCGAGCACCGATATCATGTAAACAGGACCAATCTTCAATCAAAACATCAAGTAATAAACCTGGTGAGCTCATTCTTACGTACATAACATTGCGATGCTCTAATGTAGATGTCTTATCAATTACCACGCTTGTTTACGCAAGTCCACACTTGACATGTCAGAACGATAGACCCAGTTTTGTTTACAAACATTCATATTGACCGACTGTAACTTTGGGGAAGAACAGATATGTGAATGCAGTGTATAAAGACTCTTTATATACAAAATCGCTTCGTCATGTTTAATTTATTCGGATATCCTCAATGATTGTTTAAGGTTTTTACACAAATTTGATGTATCGCCACCTCGTTGTCATCCCAATTTTACATATACCTTTACTTCTGATGTGTGAACATTGCTGTGTTTTATTTGTATATTTCATTTGTACTTCAATCCTACTTTTAATCATCAACTTTAGATTAATGGAGATCTACAGCTTACAAGAGTTAAATTCCAAAATATGTTCTTTACATATGCTAATACATTTACAATTCACTTATATGTAATGTTTTATCTGTTTTTTACAATAAAGAGAAAATAGCAGTCAATCAGAAATGCAGAACATCATCATAATATTATCTAGCAAGAGGGCTATGGCCCTGAATGGTCAACTGACAATCGACGAATGGATGGATGAGTCACAGAATTCACTGATGGTGGTCTGACAGATCTGATGAATTCAAATTTTGAACATCCCTTGAAAGTATCAGAAACTCATAAATTGTAGGTCCTGTTCATGAGAAACAGTTGAGCGATTATATTACAAAATGGCTAATGTGGTTGCCATGTTGAAGTTTTGGTTAGAATGAAAAATAACAACATATCATCTCCTCCTTTTTCTTAACTAATCCATCTCCAAATATTTTCTCAATGGTGTGAATGAAATTTGAGAAATAGTTCAAACTATTTGTTCGGGGTGAGTTATGTTTGATTTTGGACCAAAGCATACAAATAAGATTTGTCAGAACAATCTCAGACTCACTTCATGCAAGTTTGATATCATTGCCATTCCCTGATAATATTTCAGGTGAACATCGGTTTAAATCTACCAAAGCATCAAAAAGGAGTAGTGTTTTTGAGCAAAAAAATTGTCTAACCTTCCCTTTCGGGGCTCCACCTCTAAGTCCATAGGGGTAAAATTAACATTCTGAATTGAAGAATTAATTGCCCACCTCTACTGATGTTAAGACAAAATCTGAATGAAATCCATTGAAACAAGAAGAGTAGTGTTTTGAAGCAAAGGATTGTCTAAATATCCTTTTAGGGCTCCATCTTCAGGTCCCTAGATAATGAATCAACTATCTGAATCTAAGAAATGATTCCCCATCCCAATGATGTTTCAGGCATTAAGCAGGAGTAGTGTTTCAAAGGAAAAGTTAACAGAAAGCATATGGCCCACGATGATGGACAATGCACGATAGCAGTAAGGGTCAGATGACCTAAAAATCTGACAGAAACTCAATCTTCTTTGATGTCCATTTGCATGTGTCATGTTAAACCTGTAGGTGGTAATGAGCATGTGAATTGCTTTAAAAGCATGGAACTAAATTTCAGCAGATTCCTACTGAAATTCGTTGAAGTTGATGGTATTTTCATTAAAAATTTGAATGCAATTGAAGAGTGACGTAATACTACAGTTTTTTTAAATTACAAATCAAGTTCTGGAACAAGAAGCCCAAAAGTAAATTTGTATCTATGTTATAAACTCATCTATAAAGTACATACATTTTTTTCACTAAAAGATTTGTACTTGAGCAATGAGCACAAAGAAAACTCCCATCTATCAGGTAAGGTTATCATTAAGGTAAAATCATATCCTTAGAGTGCATATCGTGATTTGAAAATTTCCAATTAGTGCATATAATAGATATCGACGTATTATCTAATGGTGTCTTTGTTTTTGTCAGAGAGTGAATAGGCTCAGGACTTGATCATAAGTGTACAGTGGTAGGGATAAGGATGTCGGAAACTGACCAGCTGAAGACTGACCTCAACAAAATCTTACAAGGGAAAGCAGTACCTGTCACCAAAGTTGATATCAGTAATGAACGGTCAGGTGAGTCACATTGCAGGCCACACAAACCTTACAAGGGAAAGCAGTACCTGTCACCAAAGTTGATATCAGTAATGAACGGTCAGGTGAGTCATTTCACAGGCCACTCAAACCTTACAAGGGAAAGCAGTACCTGTAACCAAGGTCAGTATCAGTAATTAACGGTCAGGTGAGTCACATTGCAGGCCACACAAACCTTACAAGGGAAAGCAGTACCTGTCACCAAGGTCAGTATCAGTAATGAACAGTCAGGTGAGTCACATTGCAGGCCACACAAACCTTACAAGGGAAAGCAGTACCTGTCACCAAAGTTGATATCAGTAATGAACGGTCAGGTGAGTCACATTGCAGGCCACACAAACCTTACAAGGGAAAGCAGTACCTGTCACCAAAGTTGATATCAGTAATGAACGGTCAAGTGAGTCAAATTGCAGGCCACACAAACCTTACAAGGGAAAGCAGTACCTGTCACCAAGGTCAGTATCAGTAATGAACAGTCAGGTGAGTCACATCCCAAGCCACACATTTTTCATCTCACCAGGAGAAGAATACATTTACTACATTTATCAAATATTACATAATCCAGGTAGTTCAATTTTTGATATCATGTATTTTATATGCAAGTTTATATGATAAAAATATATCAAATTATTGTAATATGAATTTGCTGAATAGGACCTATTTTTACTTCTAATATAAATTATTCCAATCATTTTGTGTCATTTTGATACATGTATTACTGGATACTTTAGTCATTGTGTAGAATCAAAATCCGATTTGATTAAATCTTAAAGCTGAATGTCAGATAAGTACATGTACATCATTAAATAGGCATTTAAAATTGAATTATACCTGCCTTAGAATTTGAAACAATTATATGATACACACTGACAATATTTTCCAAATCAAGAAAGACCTGCGATCCTCCCTAAGCAATATTGACTTATCACTCAATAACAACAAAACAGTGAACTTCATAGTTATCGGAATTTCAAAACTTTTTTGTACTGCATCACTTAACACAATTACCATATTCATGTGACAATAAGCCAAAGTCTGTTAATAAGCCCACCTCTATCTGTTTCTGTTGAGTAGAATTTCAAATGGCAGCTATTTCATGTCCATCCTTGTCTTAAGTCAGAATTTATTTATGAACTCCATGAGCTTATTGTAATATAAATATGGTGCTGAGTCAGCAAACCAAATTATACATATAAATCTTTGTTTGTGAATTAATCCTGTGTCTGGCATTTTTTTGTTATCAGATTCCTTTGAGCCTATAACCAAAACCAACGTGGGGTATATTGTTAGTGCGGTCCTTATTAATGATGTAGGACAGATCCTTATGATGCAGGAGGCCAAATATTCCTGTTACGGGACATGGTACCTTCCTGCTGGGCGCATGGAACGGGGCGAAAATCTGGAGGTATAGATTTATTGTCAAAACACTTAAGTAGCCATGTGTTATCACTATCAATTCAATACCTATCAATTATATAAAACACAATAGTATATTTGCAAATTTGATATCTAAGGCTGTTTGATATCATATTTATTTGAAATTATCTTTGAAAATTCTTACAATATCTTGAATATCTTCTTGGTTACATACTTGTCTTATTAATTTTTGAATAACAGTGTTAGATCATGACAAAAAACATATCATTAAATGTTAAATATAGTCCAGATTGTTTTTGTGATGATTTGGTGGTGAGGTGGTAACACATTCCCCACCCCCACTCCTGTCATTCCAAGTAGGGGGTCACCAACTCCACAAAATGGGTTTTCTTTAGTATCTCTGGTTTCTTCCCACATTAAAAACTCTTGTGTGCATCAAGGCCAACAAAAGTGCTGAATAGAAATTTGAATAACTTGTTTTGCAATTGTAGTAAAGAAATAAAGTTTAGAAAAAAGTGTTTTTTGTTTGTGGTATCAGGAGGCAGTGAAAAGAGAAGTTGAAGAGGAGACAGGGTTGACGTTCCAACCCACGACCCTAATTTCTGTTGAGTTTGGTTGTGGAACTTGGTACAGATTTAACTTTACCGGCCACGTTACAGGTAAGTTTGTCTTACAGATGTAGTTATCTTTATACCAAAAATGTTACTGTAATTACATGCACTATCTAAACAACAAGACAATTAAGGAAATATGTTTACAATTTTTTTAAGAAGCAAGTCTAAACATGTAGTTTGTCTTACAGATGTAGTTATCTTTATACCACAAAAGAATATTGCACACAAGAGTTTTTATGTCACAAAATAAGGAAAGGCACATTGTCAGATTTAAATCTATACACAAGGAAGGTTGAAAAGTAGACATTTTATGTGAGAACATTTTTTCCTTTCCTTTCTTTGGGTTTTTTTGTTTGTCGGGTTTATTGCCCAGTGAACAGCCAGGGTCAGTTTGAGGCATGGTTTCCTTGTAGTAACTGGTGTCTATTTCACTGAACAACATACAGGAGGCCCATCACATACCATTCAGGGCAACAAGGGCAGAGGGGTCCAGGGATACAACCCCATTAGCACCGACTGGTCCATTTCTCAGTTTTTTGCATTCTCGATACTTCATGGGTATGCTCACGATCACTCTCTGAACCCTTGGAACATTCGATTGGTCCATGTAAAAAGGTCTGACCAATTACAGGCTGATTTGCTCCTAGAGGTATCACTCAAAGAACCTTTAATTTTTCTATGAAATGTTCCATGGGTGCGATTGCAATAGTAAGCAGATGAGTTTCTTGAGATACACAAATCAGCATGGGTAAGCAGTGTTTGACTACCAATACATACCACAGATCATCACCTGTGGTTAGGTACAATGTAGGTCAGTGCGCTATGTGACTGAGCTATTTGTTCCTCCCCCTTCACTCCTTAAACAAAAATTGCTCTTGTTATAGCTTAGATATTGTAACTTGTTACAGGTGGCAAATTAAAAACTTTAGAGGAGAAAGACAAGGAATCTCTTCAGGCAGAATGGATTGACTTTGTAAACATCAAAACAAGGACTCTTAAACTCAGGTGAGCGTTACCAGTTTGATACACCTTACCTGTAATAGGCTAATTTTACCCTGTCAAACTCCCATTGAATTTACGACTGAGGTTATGAATTCAGGCTTAAAAAAAAAGGTTTCTTTTCATTGCAGAAGTCCCGATATTATACCACTCATTAACATAGCCAAAAAATATCACAGCTTGAGTGAGGATTGTCGACATTCTGACACGATGCCTGCCCTCGTCCCTTACAACCGACTCATACACAGGATTATACTTATTTACAACTCCTTTGATGGGTAAGTTAATGCAGTTTAGTCCTAACAATGTGTTTGAAAAGGCACAATGGGGCTGTATGTGCTTAATAAAACTATTTTCATGAAAAATTTGCTAAGACATCAAGTGTTAGTATTTTGAATTAAAAAAAAACCCTATGAATTTCTTACACATTTCTTAGCTGTAGGGTTTCGGAGCTGAATATTGAAGTAATAAATTAGTGATGAGAGCAACCTGTGACATGCTTTACTTTAATTAGATACGCCTACATTGTATATACATGTTTCCCCTTACTCAGAAAAATGATTGGGTTATGCCAATAAAGCATGTGAATGCATTAATTGTTTAGTCAAATATTATGTATAAGCAAATTAATTTTTGGTTAGATTTTAACCAGCTGCCACATGACTGTAGAAGAAGAGATTTTCCTGTCTTTAATGATGCTACATTTTTATGGCTTCTCTAGGATACTGGGGTTCAGGTTCAAAGGATCTGTATGACTCAGATATCCTGCCTGAATCTACTCTGTGCTGTTTGATGAGACTGTATGTATAGCTATCCATGACCAGAAATATTTTACTTGTATCACTTGTAGGGACATCCTTGTACTGATGACAGACACAGACGCACTACATCTACCTACAAGTTATATTTCACCATTTGATTTCTCATTCAAGATTTCAGTATTTTCTGTGATAAAGGTTTGTAGTTTTTTCTTCCAGATCTCGTTACTAGCTGGAATATTTGTATTGTATTTATCAGCTTTATTGACAAGCACAAAACCACTAAATTATATAAAATGCCTTGTAGCATTCTGTAGATTAGTGTGATAAATGTATGATAAGTACTATATATCATGGCAATCCTCTGTCTTGCAAGTACAGATCAATATGTACATACAAAGGTAAATGAATCATATAGGCATGCAACAAAATCCCACGAGTCAAGGTATAGTGTCTTGGGCTGAGATAAAGGAAATCTACAGAGGGACTGATGTAAAAGGAGTAGGGTGGTGGGGCTTGTAGATAATATTAAATACAGTCTGTCACTCCACTGACAACTTACTTGTACAGAGTGCATGTTAAATGCTGTCATTGTCAATCACCTGACTGGGCATGCTTCTTCAGCTCTGTTGGTAGAAATTGGATTATTTCGCTCTTCTTTCACAATGGTTTTATTTCATTAAAATCTAAATCTTTGAACAGGAAGCTTTTGGAGCCTCAGAGTTCCAATTGAAGATGAGAGGCCTGATATCAGTAGAACACCAGGGGGCGCCAGCGAGTAATAAAGACGGGTTATGTCTGACAACTCTGCAGCAAGTAGATGGACCAAAGGATAAGCCCACTCCCCGATCGGACTCTTCTTACAAATGGGTGTCACTCTCACAACTCGACCCAACACTCAAGGACCAGCTGACAAATCGTCTCAAGGAAAATGGATGTGTCCCTTTGCTTGACATATAACAAATTTGGAAGTGTCATCATTATGATGACAGAAACTTATTTTACGTATACAAATAATCGAAAGATTATGTATTTATCTATGTGATAGCGGAGATGGGTGTGTTCTTATTCTTGCAATGATAAAAACTAGACAATAGGTCTCTGTTGCTTTAATGGCAGAAAGTGGGTGTTTTATGACAAAGAATGACTTATGAGAAGTAAAAATTGAGTGTTTTATGACAAAGAATGACTTATGAGAAGTAAAAATTGGGTGTTTTATGACAAAGAATGACTTATGAGAAGTAAAAAGTGGGTGTTTTATGACAAAGAATGACTTATGAGAAGTAAAAAGTGGGTGTTTTATGAAAAAGAATGACTCATGAGAAGTAAAAAGTGATACAACTCCTTAAATTATCTCATAAAACAATGGGTTTTTTTGGTGATAGTTTTATAACTGTGTTGTTCTATTAACAAAAACAATGTCTTTGATGGTTGTGGTAAAACTAGGTATGGACCCCTTATCATTTAAAAGGCAGCAAAAACATGTATCTCCTTAGTGTAATGGCACTGTCCCAGCAATTATGGACATTATGACTTGCAGTATATCTGTATACAATTTAAATTTAACGAACCATAACTGAACTATTCTGTTGTGTGTTCCTGTGATAAAATCTCAAATCACATGCTACGTATGTGATTGTGATATATGTGATTGCCAGGTGTGTGAAAACTAAATGTCCCAGATAAAGTCACCTGCATTATGATAAAAAATGTCCTGGTATTTGATATTTCTGTCTCGATGATTTTAATCTATTTCTTGTTGCATTGTAGTGGGTAATTTATTGAACACAATAAATGATATATTTTGTCCCTTACTTAAAAACTCAAGGAAACTCTCTCGGCAAAAGTAGATGGGATTTATCTAATATCTCATGATTTAACAGATTATACAAGGTATGTTGCGGAATATTATGTTGTGGTTCAAGTGATGTGCTGTCACACTATTTATTATTGTTTAAAACCACTTTTGTTTAAGTGCTTTTTCCATTTTCCTGTCTGAAAGTATAGTTTACAGACTTATAAGTGTCAAATTATTTCCGATATAAGAAAATAAATAAATAAATTAATTAATTAATGAAGGGGAAGTAATCCAGTAGTTACTGTTCAGGATTTTTCTTACTCCTGTGTTTGAAGGCTTTCTAAAACAAAAAGGCTAGGAATTTACACCAGAATAGTACATAACCCACAACTTCTGAAGTGTATGATAAAGTGTCAGTAAGTATGACCTTCACATTGTCTAGTTTGCTTCTGAGTATGACCTTCACATTGTCTAGTTTGCTTCTGCATATGACCTTCATATTGTCTAGTTTGCTTCTAAGTATGACCTTCACATTGTCTTGTGTTCATTTTTACTGCATAACAATTGATAATTAAAATATCACTAGGTGAAAATTCTGTTCGCTGAAGCTCATATTAAGAAATCTAAGCATATTGAAAAGATTGATTTAACTGTGTCCCTTTCACTATTTCATTCAATTGTAGTGGCCTTTGATGAGTGGGGTTAGGATAGGGTTTGTAGTTTGGTGACAGGGGAACAAAAGTGTCCAAACTAAGGAGGGTACAGGTCTATAACATACAAATGTGTAGCCAAAGATTGTGATTGTAATATCTTTTGAGAAATCCAGTGTTATAATAGAATTCTCTTAACTAGTTTCTAAGTGTAAGTAGATATTGCTAGCCAAGTTTATGAGATCTTGTTTTATTCTGTAGAGAGGTGGAATTGTTTTTAAAACAGCTATAAATAGCTATATCGTCCTGCATTTGGTATGTACACAGCTTTAACCTAGTAAATCTGGTGATATACTGCTCATACATCTGAAAATGACAAAAGGTACATTTACCATTTTAGGCGATTATGATATGTTTGTATAAAATAAAGTATAATTTAATACTAAATCTTTTATGTGTACTTAAACGTTTAGTTATGAAAATTAATGTATTTATTGTTGCTGAATGTTATAAACCTCAGATATGTTTTGTAAACCAATATGATATTATCCGTCTGTGATACAATAAACACGCTGAAACTGAGAATTGTTTGTTAAAATTTGCACAGAATCATCTAATGATTATTAACACACACAGATGTTTTCTAATGGGAGTTTCTGAAGTCAAAGCTGCAGAGAGTAGCATTGCAGTGACTAGAAAGCTGCAGAGAGTAGCATTGCAGTGACTAGAAAGCTGCAGAGAGTAGCATTGCAGTGACTAGAAAGCTGCAGAGAGTAGCATTAGAGAGAAGCATTGCAGTGACTAGACAGCTGCAGAACGTAGCATTGCAGTGACTAGACAGCTGCAGAGAGTAGCATTGCAGTGACTAGAAAGCTGCAGAGAGTAGCATTGCAGTGACTAGAAAGCTGCAGAGAGTAGCATTGCAGTGACTAGAAAGCTGCAGAGAGTAGCATTGCAGTGACTAGAAAGCTGCAGAGAGTAGCATTGCAGTGACTAGAAAGCTGCTGAGAGTAGCATTGCAGTGACTAGACACTGGCAAAACTGTACTAAAACTTGATATGCTTATAGTATGTGGTTTTATTTGTCTACATCCATGTCTTCAGTGAACAGATTCAACTTTAACAAAAATTATACACAATCAAATCATTAATTTGAGTGAAATAATGACAGTAAAGCATATCAAAATGTACTATACCAGACACCTTTTTAACAAACACTTTATTTTAACACACTCAATCTATAATTCATTATTGTTGCCATCACTGTTAACTGAAAAACAGAGTAACTTCACAATTTTTAAATTGCTATAGCAGTATTTTTTAAACTCTTCATTATAAGTTAATGGTCCTTAACACAGTAATTTCTCGAGTCAAAGTATGGTCCTTTCAATGAAAAGAATGCCAATGAATACTGTTTGTCCATTGGACAGTGTAACTATGTTAGGTTTTAAATGCAAGTGCTTTCTATAACCAATGTTTTCAATAACAATCAACCGCATAAAATATAATTCCAAAAGTATTTTATTGCAAAAATATGGCCTTTTTGGAAAACAATAGTTGATCAACATGTGAAGTATAAGGTTCTTTTTGTTTAAAAATGATATTTATTGTCACAGAAGTTCTTAAGACAGTAGACAAATGCTACATTTGTGAATCCTAGGCACTTATTCCAAGGTCTATAAAAGGTTTTCTTTCCCTGTGAAATCACCTTAAAACCTTGTACTCTATAATGCTTTTTCTCTCTGAACATCCCATTCCCTGAGCAACATCATTAGCAGCAGTTAAGCATCACCAATGATGACAGAATTTTCACACCATACAAAGCAAGGTGATGTCATCTTCTGTGTTTGTCTGATCTGTAACGCGAGTCCGAGTGTCTCTCTCGATGTCTGTCTGGTGATCTGTCTCTATGTCTGTCTGGTGATCTTTCCCGATGTTTGTCTCTCTTGGGTGACCTGTCTCGTCTGTCCCCATATCTGTCTCCTCTTCCTCTATCTGGGGATCTGTAACTTCTATGTTTACCCTCTGTTGGACTTTGGGAGCGAGACCTGTACACTTTACGTTTCTTCTCTGTTGGACTTCGGGAGCGAGATCTACTAGCATGCCGCTGTTTCTTGTGTTTTTTCTAAACAAAAAATATAGAAATCTTATCTAAAAGCTATACACAACAGTCTTAGTACTGATAGGATTTTGTTATTTAAAACGAGAATTTTGATCTAAGAAATACAAAAAAAAAAAAACCTAAAAAAATTATTTACCCAGAATTTTTATACAGAATATTGATTCACAGTTTGCTTATTACTAAAACTTAAATCCATTGACCCAAATACCTTTGTGTTCAATCTATTATACACAAAAATTAAACAAAAAATATGTTATCCAACTGTATACCTGTTTTTTGGATGAGAAGTTGTCATCTTCATCACTGTAGTTTCGCTCATCTTTTTGCTTGTGTTTCTTCTTTTTCTTGTTTTTCCTACTTGGCTCCTCTTCTTCATTATCTCCAAACACCAGGTCATATTTACTGGTATTCTAGTTAAGGTTAATAATGATACATCATAGGAGAGTACTTATCAAGGGGAGATAACTCATGCCCTAGGAAAAGGTTTGGGTGATCAGCTTTTGGGGCTGAATATATATCTATTTTCTTGTTTGTTTCAAATCAATAGCAGTCAGTGAGACCAAAAACAATGATAAGATTATAACTAAGATGTTATTCTAGTTATTTTACATCAAATTAAAATCATGTTGTGACCTTGAAGCAATCTAAGAGAAATTTACATGTAGAAACCAAACTATTTTCATTACTTTTCTTTTTCCTCTTTAAACTTTACTTATTTTCCTACAATTGCAAAACAAATTATTTCAACTTATACTAATCACTCTTGTCGGTCCGAATGTAAGTGTATGAATGGTCTTGTTGTGGAAGGAAACCGGAGTACCCGTGGAAAACCCACGTGGGCAGGTGACCCTTACCTTTTCAACCCCGGACTGCAAGGTGAAAGGCGAGTGCATAACCACTTTTCATTTCAGATGACACAATGCTTTTGGAGTTTTAAAAATCTCAATATGTGATAAACCATTCATTATGTGCAGTATTTTCATTGAAAAGGATACGGATCCTGCTTACGACTTCTATCCTTAAGAACATAACCTGGCCCTTTTTCATCATCTTTGTCTCCAATCTTCTCCACTCCTTTACCTGTGTAAAATAGGGAAACATTATACCATGTAATGTTTTGAATTGAATTCATCCAATAAAGCATATCAATCACCATTTACAATGACAATGGTAAACAGAATACATATAGTGTTAAAACAGCTGATCAATAATGAGTGATTTGTTAAAAACATTGAAGTTTTGCAAAGAATTCTGTGATAAATGTATAGTTGGAAAAAACAGATCAAGAGAATTCATTTTATCGGAACAGAAATTGAATTTTCTGGTTGACCTCTGACATGACCTTCACTGACCTTTGCCTTTCCATTTGACCTTTGCCACAGACTGACTGAAGTCTACATGTATACGACGATCATCTATGAGGACGTTATCCATCTTGAAGTATGCACGTTCACAGTCATCCTCCTAACATGAAAGCAGAAACAGATATTAGGAAGTTTTTATCTAAATTGTTGTTAAGAACAGCATTCTTTACTACATACATATTGCTCAAGCTCTGAAATACTTAAAGACATGCATTCATATTTCATTTTCCAGTAATAGCAAGGATTAAAGAAGGAAATATCCAATGTCCTTGGATGTCACAGCCTCCAACATATATTACAGAATCAATAGCAGTAAGAGTTACCACAATAAAAATTCTAAAATACCTTCTCAAACTCTACAAAGGCATATTGTAGTGATTCTCCTGTCTTCTGATCCTTAATCACTTCACAGCTAGAAACAGAAAAGATTTATTGGATAATTTAAACCAAATTAAAGAATACATGTAGAAAGTTGGTTTTACATAATTGTGAATATTTGAAATAGGAAAATGCATGTTTGAGTTGGTAAATTATGAAACAAAAAAAGGGTTTAAACTTTGTATTCTGAGTACAAGTCAACACTCAGATAGTAGAATTTCTATTTTAAAACACTGTGAAAAATCACTTGTTTAAACAAAAGAAAATCTACTAACCTAATGCTTGTTGATTCTTTTAACATTCTATTGAACAAGTTCATAGCCAGGGATGACAATTTTTAAGTCAACATTTAATGAAATAATATTAATTTTTGAGAACTTTAAGAAATCTTTTCCAATACCTCTCTACTGGTCCAAATCTGGAGAAAATGATTTCAAGATCTTCCTCAGTGGTGACAGGGTTAAGTTTACAGACAAAAAGGACATTGTCGGGGGGTTTGACGTCTGCGTCTGGAAGATCTCCAATGACCTCCAGCAGTTGAGCGTTAGCTTTGGCTTCTTTACGCTCCATGATCTCTTTCACCTTGTCCTCTTCCATTCCCTTAAAGTCATCAATTTCCTCGTCTGCCCCAATGCGCAAACTCTACAATAAATAACATAATGTATCACAATCTATGTTAAAAACTGCACAAAAACACACTTATATCTGTATAACTGAATTGTAGAAAGATCTGACAAAAGATGAACCTGCGCTAAACATAAAACCCTTTCATACCAACAAACAGAAGTTACAATGCTTTAAAACACACTTATATCTGTATAATTGAATTGTAGAAAGATCTGACAAAAGATGAACCTGCGCTAAACATAAAACCCTTTCATACCAACAAACAGAAGTTACAATGCTTTAAAACACACTTATATCTGTATAATTGAATTGTAGAAAGATCTGACAAAAGATGAACCTGCGCTAAACATAAAACCCTTTCATACCAACAAACAGAAGTTACAATGCTTTAAAACACACTCGGCCTCAAAGCTGATTAGAAGAATGACTAGATAAATGTAATTATCCTAAAATCAAAGTGCCACAAGCACTCAAGGAGGCTGGGCAAGATGTATTGAAACAAGGGAATAAAGCCAGTGGTTATCAGAATTTCACTTTATGAAGTCTATATATAATCTATCCTCCAACTTGAAATTACAAGGAAAGGTATTTTCTATACATGACCAGTATCACCATGACTGATGACACTGTTGACATGCATTGATGACAATGGGTGAGACTGAATTTCAAAACGTGACCTTGAACTTTAACCTATTTGCTTGGCTAGAGTAGGTAGGTCTAAATAAACATACATTTGGAATTCAAATGTTGAAACTTTGGTTGATTTAAGCTATCAGGAAAATGGTCATTGACTAGGGGATGTTCAAGTGGAACAAGTTTAGAGATGGATGATGTGTTACACCAATGCCAAGTAGGTTAAACAACAGGTTCTAGAGAGATATTTGCAACATAATTGTGTAATCTTTCTTTTCTTTGATATTGGTTACAAAATCATATACACAAATCTTGGGATCAATGTGTGCACATCTAGGAACAAAGAAAAACATACATATCATACCTAGACACTTATGAACTATATAGCCAGTAATTCTCGATGCAAAAAATTTAAGGAAATAAAACAAATTATAAACATCAAAGTAGATGAAGGCTGCCTGTTAACCAGTATTAACAAAACATAATACATTCCATATCAACACAATGTTTTAATCAATCTCAAAATACATAATAAACAACGAGGGATAAAGATCTGGAATGTAAGAATTTCAATCATTTCAGAACTTCTCAAGAAGTTGTAAAAAGCTAAAACAGCTGAAATCCACATTTACATGTTTATTATGTCATCTTCTACTATCAGTAAAAATGAATTCACAAATCAGTGACCGTACATGTAATCAAATGTCACTGAGGGCAGTAACTAGGTTCTACACTAGGGCGACTTACAGAATTCTCCATCGTAGATTTCAAAACATGGACAATATAACCACAAAACAGAAACAGTTGAATGTAATACAGGTTGCATTGCCTCTATCAGGACTTCTCACCTCTTTTTTTCTTCACTGTTAGGACTTACCACAAGAAATACTTGAAAAAACATTTCAAACTTCTATCTAAATTGTAACAACATATATCATATCAGATGGTAACTTACAATAAGAGAGCTTTTCTTATCAGAGGTAGAAAAGTATCAACATCCCATAGCAATCATACATCATGAGTGGACAAATCAGTCGCATTGTGGAAGGAGAACAGAAAATAAAATAAATGTTTGAGCGCTGTTCCCATTTCAGATCTAGTTTGCTACTTCAGTACCATAGATCAATATATGACATTAGAAAAAGTATTAACGAAGGTCAAGTAAAACTTATCAGGTTTCATTAAAGGGTGGATGTAATGTTTACCGCCTACAATTGGGAGCATTTAATACTTTAAGTATGAAGACAATCTAGCATAAATCATCAAGAAAAAGATGAAAATTGAAATTATTTCATTTTTTGGAGTAGCCTCCCCTTGTTCATAATTATGTGAAAAATTGAGTTTCATGTACCATGGAAAGTGCAGGTCAAGAAGTGTAGAAATAAGTACTGGAAAATGTCCGAAATACTCATTGATATGGCTGATTATACACTTTCCCTTTTATTGATTTATCTTGTCATAATGTTATCAACTATACCAACCATGAAAACATATCGTGGTATAATGTTAAAACATTTAATAACATAGGCAGAAGAAGATTTGTGTTGTTGAGTTTGTAGGGAAAAGCCAGGTCCACTTGTTAGAGTCTTTTCTATAGACACTCTTTCTCTGCATCTAACCATACTTAGTTCCAAGTTTCTATGTCAACAACAACAATTACTAAAAACAAGAGGTCCAGAGGGCTTGTACTGCTCACCTGGGTCTTTATGACCAACATTACTACATCTGTGCATATGTTCCACGTTTAACACTTTTGACCCCTGTGACCATTTCTTTTACTTTCTTGGACTTCATAAAAGGAACATACGGCCAAATATAATGATTCTAGGCTTTTCGATATTTCAGAAGAAATTGTTTAAACGTTTTAACACATTTGACTCCTGTGACCTTGAAGATTGGTCAAGGTAATTTCTTTTAGCAAACTTTGTAGGACACCATAAGAGGAACATAGTAGCCTAATAAAATGATTCTAGGCCTTCGGGTATTTTGAAGTCGCTTAAATTTTTTTAACACATTTGACCTCCGTGACCTTGAACATGGGTCAAAGGTTATTTTTTTCGCAAACTTTGTTGGGCTTCATCAAAGAAACCTTCCAGCCAAATATAATGATTCTAGGCCTTCTGGTATTTTGGAAGAAGTCGTTTAAAAGTTTTAACACATTTGACCTCTGTGACCTTGAATATCAGTCAAGGTCATTTCTTTTTGCAAACTTTGTTGGGCTTCATCAAAGGAACCTTCCAGCCAAATATGATAACTCTACGCCTTTAGTAAAAAGTATTATTTCTTATGAAGGTTATATGTGTATCCAAACCTTTTACTTGTTTTTGGCCTCCATAAAGTAGAAAAAAATCGAGACAATACCAGTCAATCTAGTCTATGATCCTAGTCATACCTTCAGCTGTTCCTCTGTTGGTTCTGGTGATCGGTCAGGGACTTCTAATCCTGAAGGATCATCATACGGATCATCTAGAATCACAGTGTGGTAGATCCTACAGAAAATCAAACCATGGAATAAATATCTCTCAACTGTAATACTCCAGGGGTTACAATCACTTTCACTCTCTGCACTGCTAGAACATGTCAAAAGGTTCCATGTGTGATATCTTGTGGACAGGACAAAAAGATTAGCTTGATGCTTTGATGTACATCAAACAAATCTTGAGGTGGCATAACAGTATATTGTTGGGTAAAATGGGTGTCACTCCTACGTAATCTTCAAAAGGGGTGTATCAGCCTTTGGTTGGTAATTTTTTACTACTGAAACCATTCAATTTATTCCCTTGTGTCTTCAATTTCATCATGACATATTCCAGGGGTACAGAGAGCAAAAGTGATTGTAACCCCTGGAGTATCATGGATGCTACACACTAAATATCAAATCTAATATATTAAATCAAGTTGCAGACAGAAAATAATGAGTTGTAAAATCAGACTTCTCTCTGCAATTGTTTGATTAAAATATGATTCAACCATAGGATATGATATGTTGTGAAAATAGCCTGGTCTTCAACTGGTTATCACAGTAAACCCATACAGATGTAATTTGAGACTAGACTAAATGAGTGCCCCAGCTGTGATGCATACAAGTAATAAATAAATTTCTATAAACCCTACTGGTCCCTAAGCCTTAAACTATGCATCCTGAAAAATGACCTCAAAATATCTTTCAATATAGAATGTATTCCAATCCCTTTCGACACACTAGAGTGGTGATCATAATTGATTGAGAATGGAAAAGAAGGATACCAGAACAATCTGCCAGAGGTGTAATTACTAATGTATGGTCTGACCTAATATCCTGGTATGGTCGATGGTCTTCATCACAGTAAGCTTCATTAATCTTCATAAGTACATCCATTCCCTCGGACACTTCTCCAAACACAGTGTGCTTCCCATCTAGGTAATCCAGATCTTCTCCTAGGGTCAGGAAAAACTGTAAGAAACATTGATACATGTAAACAATTAGTAATAATATAACAAGAAAACTCTATACTCCATCACCACAGTTTAATGTAACATTCCTTCAGGTATCTAACGAACTTTAAAGTTTGCCATGTGGTAGACGCTGAAGTTTACATAGTTGAATGCATCAGATATAGCAGAGAGAGCTACTGAAAATTATCCATTGTTAAACAAAAGCAGGTGGTGAGGAAAAAAAACCAAAAAAAAGTCAACGAACAAAAAAACAACAAAAAAAGGAGAAGTTTTTTTCATTCATGCCTTCAAGCCTCAATCGCTTTATTTCTGTAATTTGCTGAATTTCTGTTATCTGTTAATGGGTAAATGCTTTCTATTTTGCAATGCTCTTTCAGTTATCGAGTAATACATGTTTACATAATACTGTACCTGGGAACCATGCATATTGCCTCCATTGTTTACCATGGAGACAGTGCCAGCCTTTTTGTGCTTCATCCTCGGCACATTCTCCATGTCAAAGTAACGTGCCTGTTCCCCATACAGTAACCTGATAATAAAAGATGAAGGAATCTTACCCTACATAACTAGAAATAGCCTTTATCTTACTGATTAGTTTTATAAGATACCATCTTTCCATGAATACATTCACACAAAAGTTCTGATGATCCTAGGAGACAATATATTAACCATACCTTAGTCAACAATCTAAATATAGACCACATTCTTCAATGCTATGCATACATATCACCTTCACCACTTACCAAACATTTAAGAAAACTGACAATATTAGTATAAGTATCTTCTCTTTCTAATTCAATAGGATATACATTCAATGAAACAACATTGATGATTTATATGATACATGTCCCAAACATTGACAAATTTTATTCACATAACTGGCCTGTGCTATATGCCCTTCTCAAAATATTATAAGACACAAATCTATAAACACTGAAGAGCACTGACATGAGAAATGATAGAACACAAGCTCTAGTCTCATTAGTGAAATGTTATCACCTTAACACAAATCTAGTTACCCATGCCATTTTTGACTGAATCAGAACTTTTCCCTTGCATTTTCTCTAATTAATTCTCTATAGTATAATTAATATAAATAGTGAAACTCTCATCCTTCAATAAACAGCTTGATCCAATGTAGATTGCAGAACTGTCACTAACCCATTCACTGATTCTCCTCCTCTGCCAGTTCCAGAAGGGTCTCCTGTTTGGGCAACTAAATTTCTCTGAAAGTACCAACATACAATGACAATGAATTCCAGCTCTCTTGGAATTAGACACACCAATACAGGAATTGTTACAAAAACAAAGATAGACCCTTGAAATATGCAAATAAAAATAATCTGAGGTGGCAACTGTGATTTATCAGTGATTTTTCCAACTTATCTATCTGTGTCTGCATTTAATGGAAAAGTAGTTATGGGTAAAAACCCAAATAAAGCTGTAAAACAGGACAAAATAATCTCTATTTGTACCATAATTATATTAACAGTTTATATTGATAATTTATTTCCAGTGGCTTTCAGTGGCAGTGGAGTGAATTTCATTCTTTTCTTAATTTGATCACTATAATTATACACATACATTATTGTAATTTAATAATGATTGAAAGTATTTTGTAATAAGGGACTGTACAAAGAGTGGATTTTCTAAGAGACATGTTATTTACCTAATATCATGTTATACATGACTGACATGGTCTTTACAAGACTTTTATTTGTCTGTCAGATAAAGCCCACACAGGGCATAGTTAACAAATCATTGGTGATTACATTCATGACATAGCATATGCTTATATAACAGAGCAGGCTGTCACAGAGTTATCTGCCCTTGGACCAGCAATAAACCATCCATATCTACTGGTACCTTTTTTTATCATACATTAATTTATTGAACTGTATATCAATTTAGCACATCAGAGTGTAAACATTTCCATTAATGGAGCTTTATAACCATATAGAAGAATTACTTACCTGGACAGAATGGAAGAGGGAGAAATTGTAGTATTTCACTTTACACAGCTTCAGAAAATTCTTGCAACCTGAAACAAGGGACAATTACTATTTGTGTTGGTAATTTTTGACACTATTCAAAACCTCAATTGCATTCATTGTTTAATGCTGATTTTTTAACCTTAACAATACAATGTACCATCACTTGTTTACTCACATGCTAATGATAACAAAACTGAATTAAACATTATAGTCATGATCTAAAAATAAGATTCATCGAGTCATAATGTAGTAAAAGTCCACAAAAGTCAGATCTCTTTGAATTTTTCCTGATTTTTGATGTTCCTCTAGATTCCCTCTGATCAACCTCTGATCTCAATACATAAAACAAACATGGCATTTCTATTGTAGAACCTTCTTATAGCACAATATCATTTTGTTAGTTTTTAGTACATTTGTGTTTGCATCCCTTTATCCATGTGTTCCAATGGTAATTTCCTTAATTCATTATTAAAACATCTAATATCTTACTTGCTTCAATCACACAATTCACAATTACTGCTGGTTTTAATTTTTTGCAAGGAAACATCATGTTACACTTTGAATTAATTCATCACAATTTATTTATTTCAGGGATGTATGCTGTTTATATTGGTGAGTTTGCATTTTTGAGGGGGTGAAAATTTGAATGCAGCACTCAAATGTAAATTGTAATGAATTTATTCAAAGGGTAAGACTTTTTTAAATACTGAAATAGATTTATAATTAAAATTTAAAATTTATTTGACTTTTTGTTCTGAGATATGAATTACTTATCATAATCGTAAACTGGGTGTGGGATCCGGGCTGAGACAGAGTATGGCATACGCCATCGATCGATGACATAAAAGAAAACATGGTGTTAAGAAAGTGAACGCAGTGATGCAAATGTGGAAATTCTGTAGCATATGGGACATGACAACATCAAAGGACATGATGTGTGGACAAGTTCATAATTAATGTATACTGCCACAAGCGTATATTTTGCAACTTGAGCATAGTAAATGAGGTACTCGTTAGAGATCAGTGCTTGTTTCAACCGGACAGGGAAATATCTACCTAACCATTTCTACCTTTATTTCCGAATTTGTCAGCTCATAACTTGGTTAATACTTGGACAATCCTGTTCATTAACTGCTCATTGGAAAAATAAAACATATATAGGTAATGTATATGTTACTATGATCTGCAAAACCTAGAATATGAAAAAACATAATTGGAAAAAATATGTTCCAATATTCCTCCTCATGCAAAATCTTTGAGATATTTACTGGTGCTCCAGTGCCTAATAGTTTCAAGTACTTTCCAGTACCTATTAGAGAGATTAGTGCATGTTTCAATTGGACAGGGAAATGTCTACCTAGCCATTTCTATAGCCTTACCTGATGCTACCCAAATTTGAATACTTTTTGAAGAGAATGGTAAAACTTTTCTACAAAGATTTTGGATCCTGTAATTTTCTTGGTATTTGGGACGATTTCACAGATACCTTTAGCTTTCATATCACGCTTTGGTTTCATGACAGTGGCGCACGTGTCTATAAATAAAACACAGCAAGACGTGCTAGATTCACCAATGCCAAGCCAAAATGGAACGACGCCCACGTTCTGTTCATTTATAAAAATAAATATGTCATAATCTTGAATATTTCTCTTCATTTTATAAAAGTTCAATAACTTTCTCATCAATCTCGGTCACTTATTTATCAAAAATGTTAATTTCAGCAATATTTTTCATTATTTAAAAACATGACAGAATATTTGTGTTGTCATCATTTCCCGGAATGTTTTTAATGATTTCATTTAACAAATTTTAACTCATAAAAATGCCATAATATTAATAATGCCAATCACCCATGACCGATACGTAAACTAAGCCAATACTAATCTAGTTTTAACAAATACATATTTTGACTTTAGTAATGACATTTTAGCGAACACGTATCTACATTTTAAGGAGGAGAACAAGATGACATACATATTGGTCTTTCGTCGACAAACAAATCAATTGTTATATCTCCGAGAGATGTTTCCAACACTACAGCCATTTTCCCGGTTTCTGAAACTCTCGTTACAGGGAGATAGAAAAGTAGAGGGAACCTTCTAAAATCAAAGTTGGAGCCGGACACAAGCTTCAACACGGAATTGAATTTGATAGCAATTTTGGAGAAATGGATCAGTCGATCTTCGGAACTCAAACTACTGATTTATTCCCAACAATAACAAAATGTGTTTTAGCACAGTGCTGTTGTAGTTCGCCTTTAAAATATGGACATTTTCTTCAGTAATGAAATAAAATATCTGTCCCGTTTCCACGGGAACGAAGAGTTTTCTGTCAGATTCGTATATTCTAAACTTGTGTTGAGATAATGTTATATATGATCTTCACTCCAGACATGGGACCAACTAATTATTTCATCTTACTTTTTATACTGTTGTAACGGGAAAAATCCAGTAAATTTTGGCACCTTCCCTTGGGAAGAATAATCTTGAAACGCTCCTCAGTCAAAATATCTGTCATGAAATATTCATAGATATACATGTCCTTTAATATAGGTAATAGGGAAAAAGAAGTGTCAAGATATGTGAAATACGAAATTTGGCAATTTGAGAGAAAAAAAGGAAGAAAAAACACGCACTTTAAAAATTTTCTACTCTCGAAGAGTAACCTATTCTAGAATATGCGTGTCCGATGAAAAAAAAACTTTTTTAAAAAAATCAATGATGTGGTCCCTAGTCCAAGATTTCTGGATAAATAAACCTTTTAACTGTTTTATATCACTTTGGCAATTAACATATTTCATACATCAGTTCCGTACGAAATTTCTCGGCCTCAAGAACGTTTTTTGTCATGACAAAAAATTAGTCTCTGCTACATTTTATGTACATGTACATTGCTTGATAATATTCTATCAACAGCTATGGTCTTATGAGTGTCTAAGTAACTTTTCGCATCATCAAAGTGCAAGTCTATACTAGCAATGTCGACTACATTTATCGTTATGTAAATAGAGGATACATTGAAAGTAAACAAAACATATGAAAACGACTTAGGTTTCCGAAATTATTGCAGTAAATTTTACCGCAGAAGTTACTGGTAGCCCAAAATTATTATCTACTTTTTCGTCATGTTATGTGATTTCTACGAACTCCTTTGACAGTGCTGACCCCATTTACCATCCCATTCGAAGAAAAATGACTGAAAATGGTTCCGCGTCGCAGCAGGAGATTTTTCTTTGTCTTGAGTGACCTAGATCTGTCAGATAGTGTCTGTTTTCGCACCAACAGTTCTTATCAACGGATTTTAATCCTCAGACCATCGGTGATCAACACCAACGTAATGACGTTCGTCTAATTCTTATAAGTTCTGTTTAAAGCAGGAAGTTAATTTTAAGCCCCCCACCACTGATCAGAGCCAACATTATGGCGTTCTTCTAACAGGTCTGCGTAATAAGCTTTATAGAACATAATTCTGACATCACCTGCGTGAAACCAGGAAGTGCATTTTCTGCTTCTGCATTGATCGATGTATCAACAAAAATGGGGAAAACTTTTTATGCCAGCGTGTAACAGCACTGTATTTAATGGCATTTTTATAGATTGAGTTGTGTTTCGTATGTTTGCATTTGTTAATCAATTAATGCAGTTAAATGCAAATATTAGATGTGATATAAATGTTTGTGTCAGGAACCTGTGTCTTTGTACGTAAATGATCTGAACAGGTGATATGGTCATACCATCAAGTCGTCATCCTTCACTCATGATTCTAACCAAGTTTGAAATGTTTCCAGAAGAAATTAAACAAATTATGCTCAAAAAATCCATTTTTCCTATATAAACTATAATAACATTTCCCCTCCTCCCATGGTAAAAAGTGACACCCTTGGGCATGAAATTCATAATTTTGGCAAAGCACCTGAAGACACTTCCATTCTTGAAGATCCTTTTATTCTACAATACCTGGGTATTGAGAAAAGCTTTTTGAAATTTGAGTCAGGGGCGGGGACCATGTGATTCACCATTTTGGTTCATCTTAGACCAAGGAATATTTCTTCAAAATTTCGATGAAATCGGTTCCATGGTTTTTGAGAAGTAAAAAATGTCGACACACGACGCCGGACAAAAATGATCGCAGTTGGTCACCATGAGACTTTAGTCTGAGATGACCTAAAATTCCTTGTCATTGACGATTCATTCCTACTTGTCGGATTGTTCACCAATACATACATTATGTTTGTATTCACTGAGGCTCATTTTTAGATTGAAAAAGAAACAAAACGTTGTAACTGTAATCTGGAGGTCGCTTAACAGTATGATGTACTGATTTTTCTGTTGTGTGTCGTTCCTTTGATATCGGTAAAGGAGCGTATCAACCTGTTTGCTCTTTTCTTCCTCCTGAAACTTGCTCTAGACCAATCACACTACTTCACCTGTATATTCAATTTTGCCAGGAATGCAGAGAACGAAAGTGAGCGTAATACCTAGAGCATCGAGGATGACTTTTCGAATACAAAACCATTTTAATGTACATCGTATTTGCATGTATTCTGAAAATCTATATAAGTATATTTTTGCAATGTAATCTTGTATGTTTACGATGCTCCGGCTGTTTATTCTAACTACTGTAAGCATGATACATATATTTTCGTTTTCTGTGACAATTCACAATTGTATATAGCTTTATTCCTGTTCTTGTGTTCTAAGTACAGTCATGTATTCTATATCCAAATACATATAAGTATTGTTAATTTTAGAATACATGTATATTATCATGTAACGAACTTGTTTACAGGTTTTACACATCATCAGAAAATAAAATTTATTATTATCATTATAACAAATCTTGTCAGCTTATATGCGCAATATGTGATGTAACAATCTTTGCCAAGTGTGGGGTATACCTGTCGCCCGCTCGGTGATCGCTCTATGTCTATACTGATTAGTGGACGATAATTAATGTATGTTCTTAAAGAATGATAAATATTTCGTAACATGAAAACATTACGTGGATGTGGATGTTGATAATGCTGTAATCACGTGTAGTCGGTATCCTAGGTCACACAAGATTTATGTTACATAATGACAACAAATAAAGGTGGATAACATCGTGAAATGTTATGTGACGATATAAAGGACATTCAGAAAAAAATCTTTTAATGAGACTTCGGTTTATCTATATAGGTCGTCATCAAGCGGCGAGAAAAGGGTGAAAAATGAGAACATCAAAATAGCCTACGAGCAATATAATGTACATTCTATAATACAAACCATGCACATTCTCACACACCATGTAGCAACGTTAACGCCATAAAAACTCTCGTGGTATATCTTAACGTTAGTAAAACTCTCGTGGTATATCTTAACGTTAATAAAACTCTCTTGGTATATCTTAACGTTAGTAAAACTGTCGTGGTATATCTTAACGTAAGTAAAACTCTCGTGATATATCTTAACGTTAGTAAAACTCTCTTGGTATATCTTAACGTTAGTAAAACTCTCGTGGTATATCTTAACGTTAATAAAACTCTCGTGGTATATGTTAACGTTAGTAAAACTGTCGTGGTATATCTTAACGTAAGTAAAACTGTCGTGATATATCTTAACGTTAGTAAAACTCTCTTGGTATATCTTAACGTTAGTAAAACTCTCGTGGTGTATCTTAACGTTAGTAAAGCTCTCGTGGTATATCTTAACGTTAATAAAACTCTCTTGGTATATCTTAACGTTAGTAAAACTCTCGTGGTATATCTTAACGTAAGTAAAACTCTCGTGATATATCTTAACGTTAGTAAAACTCTCGTGGTATATCTTAACGTTAGTAAAACTCTCGTGGTATATCTTAACGTTAATAAAACTCTCTTGGTATATCTTAACGTTGATAAAACTCTCGTGGTATATCTTAACGTTAGTAAAACTCTCGTGGTATATCTTAACATTAGTAAAGCTCTTGTGGTATATCATAACGTCAGTAAAACTGTCGTGGTATATCTCAACGTTATTAAAACTCTCGTGGTATATCGTAACGTTAATAAAACTGTCGTGGTATATCATATAACGTAAGGAAAACTCTCGTGGTATATCTTAACGTTAGTAAAACTGTCGTGGTATATCTTCATGTTAGTAAAACTCTCGTGGTATATCTTAACGTTAGTAAAACTCTCGTGGTATATCTTAACATTAGTAAAGCTCTTGTGGTATATCTTAACGTTAATAAAAATTTCGTGGTAAATCTTTACATTAATAAAACTCTCGTGGTATATCATAACGTTAGTAAAACTATCGTGGTATATCTTAACGTAAGTAAAACTCTCGTGATATATCTTAACGTTAGTAAAACTCTCTTGGTATATCTTAACGTTAGTAAAACTCTCGTGGTATATCTTAACGTTAATAAAACTCTCTTGGTATATGTTAACGTTAGTAAAACTGTCGTGGTATATCTTAACGTAAGTAAAACTCTCGTGATATATCTTAACGTTAGTAAAACTCTCTTGGTATATCTTAACGTAAGTAAAACTCTCGTGATATATCTTAACGTTAGTAAAACTCTCGTGGTGTATCTTAACGTTAGTAAAGCTCTCGTGGTATATCTTAACGTTAATAAAACTCTCTTGGTATATCTTAACGTTAGTAAAACTCTCGTGGTATATCTTAACGTAAGTAAAACTCTCGTGATATATCTTAACGTTAGTAAAACTCTCGTGGTATATCTTAACGTTAGTAAAACTCTCGTGGTATATCTTAACGTTAATAAAACTCTCTTGGTATATCTTAACGTTGATAAAACTCTCGTGGTATATGTTAACGTTAGTAAAACTCTCGTGGTATATCTTAACATTAGTAAAGCTCTTGTGGTATATCATAACGTCAGTAAAACTGTCGTGGTATATCTCAACGTTAGTAAAACTCTCGTGGTATATCGTAACGTTAATAAAACTGTCGTGGTATATCATATAACGTAAGGAAAACTCTCGTGGTATATCTTAACGTTAGTAAAACTGTCGTGGTATATCTTCATGTTAGTAAAACTCTCGTGGTATATCTTAACGTTA